GTCCCTCTGGGACTCCTCAGTGGCCCCTTTGGCCTTAGGGAGCAGCTGTTCCCGGTTGGAATTTTGTGGTTCTCCCTCCCAGGCACATCCCGTGCTCAGCATCCCGGGCTGGGCTGGGAGTGCTCCGTGCATTCCTGGGCACTGGGTTGGGATGGCAGGGAGTGTTCAGGGAGCTGGAAGGGCTGCAAAATATGGCTTAGAAAAGACATCCCTTCCCTGGCTGCTCCCTGGGAAGAGGCACGAGCTGATTTATTAACCCAGGGCTGAATATCTGGGCCTTTGGGGCAGAGATTTTGCTGCCTGAACTCTGCTCTGCCCTAAGCTCTGATCCCCCTGAGCACACTGGGACTGGAACCCCCATCCAGAACCTTCCATCCCTGCCATTAAAACCCCCCCAACACTGTGTGAAATGAACTCTACTTCTCTGATTTTCCCCACAAGTTCAGCAGCCTGGAGTGTTTTGAAAAACATTCCTATTTTTTTTAAACGGCAAGTTTGAAAATCTGGGAGGAACCTGAAGTGTTGTCATGAGCAGCTTTTGATGTGTTTGAAATCAAGGTTCAAGAGGCAGCAAACTTGAGAGTGACATAATTCAGAAGTGATTTCCACTTCAAATATATCTCCTCTGTAGGTAACCCCTCAGAAATGACACTTTGGATCCACAGCATATGATAAAATATGCAGCAGAAAATGTATTCAAGAATACAAAGGGGCGTCCAAACCCCTTTTCATGTTTTTAAACATAAGTTTCTTTATATGTTATACATATGGGGGACTTAGCCAGGATTTTTCCTGTTTTCCAGGAGCATATACAATGTATAGAAACGTTTGTATTGTGTACAAAGGGCTGAGAGGGACTTCTGGAAATAAAGGTGTGTTTGCAGCTCTGCTCCATGTGTGTGTGGTGTGTGGGATTGGGAGCAAAAATTCTGGAGTGTAAAATTCCTGCAGAAAGCAGGATTAATTGAGGGGAGGGGAAGGGGAGGGGCAGGCACTGAGCTCTGCTCCTTGAGTCTAGCAAATAAAATTTTGCAGTGATTCCTGAAAGACTTTTAATTGACCTCATAGTGCAAGTCTCAGGACTTTTCTGGCTTGTCTTGTGAATTAATTTTAGGGGGTTTTTTTTAGTTGTTGTTGTTGCTCAAATTCAATTTAGTTTATAGGGATAACAAGTAGTAATTAGCTTCTTTACATAAAAAGTAACATTATGCAGCAAGTGGAAGACTTTCACTGATTATTTAACTGCTTGTGGGAGGGATCTAATGGTTTGGTTAAATCATTTCATTTTGAACTGTGAATAATTTGGTAAGATAAACTACAGATAAACTACAGATAAACTTGGTTCTTAAAAGTTGTTTTAAAGGTAGAAGGCAGCGTGAGCAGCGACAGGACCTGAGGGAATGGCCTGGAGCTGTGCCAGGGGAAGTTTAGGTTGGATCTCAGGGAAAGGTTCTTCTCCCAGAGGGTTTTTGGGCACTGAAGAGGCTCCCCAGGGTTTGGTCCCGGCCCCAAGGCTGCCAGAGCTCCAGGAGGGTTTGGACAAGGCTCTGAGGGCCAGGGTGGGATTGTTGGGGTGTCCTGGGCAGGGCCAGGGGTTGGACTGGATGATCCTCGGGGGTCCCTTCCAGCTCAGGATATTCTGTGATTCTCGTGCATTTATTTTGTCCTTTTTTTGTAATTTAGGTGATTCTTTCCCCCCCATAAAAAAAGAGGAAAAAATAATAAAGGCCTGAACCATTTTCCTGGCAGACCAAAACCACCCTTTTCATCACAGAAACTTCCCAGACGACCCCAAAAACTGTGCATTGGTCACTCAGGGGACCAGAGCTGCATGTGGGGCCATCCCAAGTGCAGGAATAGATATGGAATATTTCTCTTTCTGAGGAGAATATTTCCCTTTCTGAGGAGGATATTTCCCTTTCTGAGGAGGATATTTCCCTTTCTGAGGAGGATATTTCCCTTTCTGAGGACGATATTTCCCTTTCTGAGGAGAATATTTCTCTTTCTGAGGAGGATATTTCCCTTTCTGAGGAGGACATTTCTCTTTCTGAGGAGGATATTTCCCTTTCTGAGGAGGATATTTCTCTTTCTGAGGAGGATATTTCCCTTTCTGAGGAGGATATTTCTCTTTCTGAGGAGGATATTTCTCTTTCTGAGGAGGATATTTCCCTTTCTGAGGAGGATATTTCCCTTTCTGAGGAGGATATTTCCCTTTCTGAGGAGGACATTTCTCTTTGAGCTCTCCCCCTGCCTTGCCCTTGGCTTCCTGCGAG